ACATTTGGTTATGTTTTGGAGCTATATAATGAAACAGAGAGTATTTTAATGTTTATAAATGGGCCCCATTCACTTCCATTGTAAGTGCCTCACTGTAACCCAAAGAAAGAAAAGGAAATAAAATGAACATTATTCAACATTAATCAACATTATAAGTGTTGCTGATTGATCTTAACTTCTTGAACCTCCAATCTTCCTTTAATACATATAGCTTTCTCTTTGACTGAGAACTGGTTTGAATCCACATCACCCTTCAGAATCGGTGTTTCCTTCTAACTAATGTGAAAAGCATGTTTTGGGCTGTTACAAATGGCTTACGGCCGTGAGGGACATGACATCAAAGACCTGCGGCTCTAATCTTAGATTGGTTGGAGTGTCCAGAAATCCTCCTAAACTGGAAATAGCAGCGCTTAACATAGACACATGGACTGTAAGTTGTTATACAAATGTGCAAAGAAAGATGTTGGCAAGTCAGTGCAAAGTCCATTTGTTTTAGTATTAGTGTGACTTAATGATCTCAGGAACATATTTGCACAGGTGTGTCAATTTAGATTATTACTCATCTGTGCATGAACAGAGTGAATTTAAGTGTTTTTTTAGTAAATGGATATGGGTGGGTCATTCATTTGTATTCTAGTGTGTCCGTGAATTATTATTGACATTATTTAAATGATTATGAACTCAGTCACATTAATGCTGTTAAGTGTGTAATGCAAAAAAAAAAAAAAGTTTGTGCTTCTATGACTTTCTTTCTTCTGTGAAAGACAAAAGAACATATATTTTTTAAAAACTCTCAATGTTTTCTGTCCAAACAATGAAAGCTTGTGATATTATTTTGTTTGAACCCAACATTCTTCGGAATATGTTCTCTTGTGTTCAAGCCAAAGCAACAGCTTCTAAAAGTAGTAATATTTATTTCAGCATTTGTTTAAGATTATTTTAAGCTGATTAAACAGTTGAAACCAATTTTATCCCAAATAATCTAAGGGCACAGCCTAATCTTTTTGTTTGTGTTTCAGTATGATTGAATAAAAAGAAAAAAGAAAAGAAAAAAGAAATGCAAGAATCTAAAATAATTAAACAACCAACCATGTAAAACAAAACAAAACAATTAATTTTTAATGCATTTGCTTTAGCTTTTTTATTTTTGTATTTTTTTTAGAATTTATTTAGAGTGGGATTTTATTTGTAGATTTTATTTTTTGATCGTTTATTAATATCCATATGCAATAAACATGCATTTTTTTCACACATTGGTGATTGCTTCCATGTGCAATTCATTTGTCAGAATCTGTTGAATGTGAATATGTCCATAAAATGTGGAACCAATAAAGCATCCAGACTGTTTCTATCAGTATCGCATCCAAAGAAATGTAGTAAACAAATTATTTTCTCATAAAGTCAGAGATTTACATCTCTGTTCTGTCAAACAACAGTAGCTTCTGTGGTCTGCTTGTTTTTTACTCACAAAAAAAAAAAGCAATAAAAACTAATTTAAATGGATTCCTCGACATATAATTGTTTTGAGTTTCCTTGCTTTTATTTCTTAAACAGCAGACTTAAATAAAAATCCTGCTGTTATTGAAAATGTTTGTCAGGCAAAATGATAAACAATGGCACGCTGTTATTTAAATGATTCTGTTGCTGCTCTATCTTCAAACTTTGAATTTTCGTTGAATAGACAGGCCTATGATCAGATTTAGATCTTGGCCAGTATTCAGACAAGATCCTGAGGAAAACCAGCTTTGAGTTGAGTGAGATGAGGTGGTGTTACAAACAAGAAACAGACCAATACAATAACCGTTGCTGGAGATGAATGTCTCTCATACTTCACACACAAAAGCACTATAAATATATGACGTGATTTAAAGCATAAAGAAAACATGCACATCTCAAATTTTGTAAGATTGCACACGCACGCACGCGCGCGCGCACACACACACACACACACACACACAACCTAGGAACCATCTAGAACACCCTAGCAACCACGCAGCAGGGTTGTTATTGCTAAGTAAAACAATGATTTTTTTTTAAATCAAATATTTATGTTAATTGAAACAACATTAACTGTAATATAACTAAAAAAATATAAAACATCAGTTTTTGATTAGCTTATGACAAAGTACTAAAATTAATGAAAGTAAAAATAAAAAACAACAAAATTACTTAAATTTAAACTAAAATTAAAATGTAAAATTAATATATTAAATAATATAATAGTACATATATATATATATATATATATATATATACACATATACATATACATATATACATACCATAGCAACACCCTGGCAACCAGTATCAACCTTAGCATCATGGTGGTGAATTAATGGGAAAACATTGCTCACATTTAATAAAAATTAAGTTACTTTATTTTAGTATAGTTTATACAACCTATATAGAAATACAGAAGTTTGAGGCTGACAAATAATAATAATAATAATAATAATAATAATATAGCTGCAAGCAGCAATTCCGGGGCCAAGCCCGAGAAGGGCTGTAGTGCAGCGCAGAGCGGGAAGAAGAAAAACGGCAGAAATGGAACATACATAAAGAAGAACAGATAGGTTCAGAAGTACAGAAGTTCAAAATCGAACAGAAGTTCAGCTGAGAATGACCAAAAACACGTTTCTGCTTCAACACGAACACAGAAGGAAAATCCAAGGTCTGGAACAGAAGCAATGTTAGCCACCCTGGATTCGAACCCACGACCTGAAAGGTTTGGGCCAGTGGCTTAGCAGAGTGCGCCACTCAGTTGACACACGTTCAACAGGCCGCAGAAGAGAGGTTAAGGTGTAAGAATGATCTCACAAAAGCGTGACTTAGCATATTACACAAAAGCACAATTGACATCCTCAGATTCGGCATGACCTCCGATTTAATCATGATTTTCTGACTAACTGTTCAAAAGTTATAAGGCAAAATGTGCATTTTTAGTATCTCATGACCCATAGGTGGCGCTGTTCCCAACTTTGGCATGGACCCTCAGATCTTGTTGTTGATGAAGCATACCAAGTTTGGTTTCGATTGATCAAAGTTTGGCCGAGATACAGCCTCTGAACAAATTTGGGTTGACCTTGTTAACTTCACAACATCATAACTTTTTTTTCACTAGTAGTTAAAAAAATCTGTTCAGTCATTTCTGTACAGCTCAGTCCAAAGATCATATGATCAGAATTTGGACAAAATTGGACAACATTTCTGGGAGGAGTAGTGAAAAAACAGTTTTTCATTCAATTGAATATGGCGGACAGACACCCTGTTGGAAAATGACAAATGAGACATTGTCAGAATCGGCATAACCCAAGGAACAAAATGACATAAATATAAAAAAGTTATGTGTTTTTGCAAGAATTGTTATAGCTCTGGAACACTACGTGGCGCTGTCTTCAAACTTCCGGGGTACCTCCGGGACATGGTGTTGATGATCCCTACCGATTTGTTTGCAGATATGTCCAATGGTTCAAAAGATATAGCAATTTATGACAAATGTCAAAATGGCGGACAGATAGTTCAGCCAATCCTGGCAAAATTCACATGCACAGATTCGGCATGACCCAAGTAATCCATAGACACCAAGATCATAATTCTGACCAATTGTTCAAAAGTTATAATCGAAAATGTGCATTTTTGGTATCTCACGACCCATAGGTGGCGCTATTCCCATCTTTGGCATGGGCCCTCAGATCATGGTGTTGATGAAGCGACTATTTACTGTACTTTTCAAAATGGCCGCTACTATAATGGGCGGAGTGTGAATGTAAGCTATTGAATGTGATCAGCATGAAGAGAGTAATCATGTGTACTAAGTTTCATTTTTCTAGAATCAGGGGTTAAAGAGTTATTACCATTTCAATGTTGAATTTTTGAACTGGTGGTGGCGCTATGGAGTTGGTCCTAGAGACCCCAATGTTGTTCAGATCACTATTCATGGCCATCACTACAATTGTGCCAAATTTCATCATTTTCCAATGTTCCCTTCATAGGGCTACCATAGACCCCCATTTGACGAAAATAATAATAAAACATACAGATACAATAGGGGCTACAGCCCTTTGGGCTTGGCCCCTTATAAACTGGTTTAAAGGCATTGTTAAATTCATCAACTATATGCAAGTAAGCACATGCAAGTTATCTTTTCAGACATATGAAATGCACTGAAGTCATAATTTCCCCCATGCAAGAGATTCTATACTCTATCCAACACATCATTCTATACTCCAATAACTCCCATAATGAAGAAAACGACTGATAAAAATGTAAATGTAGTAGTGTAATGTCTGCAAAACTTGAATTGACTCATTTCTTCAAGCACTGTTTCACCTACTAACAATACATTTTCAGGTTTATGCATCAAAACTCAATAACTACTCTCCACTACCCTCAAAAGGTGAGTGCTGAGACGGTGTCTACATTAATTGCAAAATGTATTTGTTGTGTAAGCATTTCATTTACCAAGCACCTAATGTTCTATTAATGTTTTGTTTTTTTAGATTTCTGCAATGCACTATACTTGGAACTTCCTCCTTATCCAATATGTAATTCTCTGCTCCATGAACTTTTTTTATGGAGGACACAACTGAAAAAAAGGTAAATTTAATTGTATAATGTTTGCAAAGCTTAGATTAAGTATTTTGTTTGCGCAGTCATTAAAGCAATAACAATATTATTTTATTTGTGTAGCATAACTCAATAACTACTGTCCACTACTCTCAAAAGGTGAGTGTACATCTGGTGTCTACATTAGTTGCAAAATGTTGTTGTGTAAACACTTTATCAAGCAGTTGATGTTCCATGAATGTATTTTCAGATTTCCACAATGTGCTACACTTGAAACTTCCTCCTTATCCATTATATGGTTCTCCGCTCCATGAACTGTTTTTTTAAAGAAGCACACAACTGATAAAAAGGTAAATTTAATAGTTAATCTAAGATTTGCAGACATTATACACTTTTCTTTGAGCAGTAATTAAAGCAATAACAATGTTCTTTCAGTTTTGTGCAGCACAACTCGATAACTACTCTCCACTACTTTCAAAAGGTGAGTGTAGAGATAGTGTCTACATTACAGAACAAAAACATTTTGCAACTAAACACTTTATCAAGCAGTTAATGTTCCATGAATGTATTTTCAGATTTCTGCAATGACCTACACTTCTAACTTCCTCCTTATCCATTATATGATCCTCCGCTCCATGAACCGTTTTTATAAAGAAGCACACAACTGATAAAAAGGTAGAATATAATATCCTTTATGCTTATTAATCAGAAGTTGATACTAATTTGAGTTTAATTTATTGATTTTCTGCTTCTCTTTCTTACAGTGAAGACAAAACCATTCTCAACTATCAATTCAGAAAATGTCCCGGCAAAAATCTTAACTGATGCAGGCAGTTAATAGTCAAAGTTATTACACAAATACATAACCACAAAAGTAACACAATTATATATAAAATATTGGATGGATGGCTTATATTATATTTAGCCTATGTACAGTAAATTTAGATATGTGCCAGCCAAAGGAGGATGGCCTTCCCCTGCTGAGTCTGGTTCCTCCCAAGGTTTCTCCTTACACCACTTTGCCTATGATGCTCCTCTTCACTAATTTAGGGAGTTATTCCTTGCCACTGTCGCCTTCTGGCTTGCTCACTGGGGTATTAAGGCACAATATTTTCAATGTAAACGGAGTAATGTCTTTCTAAAGAATTGAATAAATACATGATGAATTCAAATGTACTTTTTCTTCTTCTTGCTGTCATGCACTTCCATTTACTCTATCAATGTCCTGTTTGTTTATTGATCAACATTAGAAATTCTATGTAGAATGTTAGTTTTGTTCCCCACACAATTTAATTTTTTATTTTTTTTTTAAATGGACCATCTGTGAGCACAATTCGTATCACACTATGCTACATAGAGCATTCAAGATACAAGATAAAAAATTAAATGTAATCCTTTTCTTTGCATTCAGTTTATTTATTGATGTACCATTAAACCTGGAATTGGGGAGAAAATTGTTAAAATATTTATATTTTGTGTACACAACAGAATTAAATTATTCTGTAGGCCTATGACTTAAATGATGATCCCATTTAAGTTTCTTTTGACAAACTGAAAGCTCAACTAAAAGCAGTTTTCAAATATTTTTTCTTCCAGTGATGCTCTCCATGAAACGGACAAAAATGAAATGCTTTGCTAAAGTATATAATGGCAGTAGCTGACCCACTCAATACACATTGATATCTTTGTTCATAACCGTTAATTTAACAACAAAAATTATAAAACTTTTGCTGCAATGCTGCACAGATGTTCCTGTATTGTTGAGCAGATGAAGACACTTTACACGTTTCATTATAATGTCACCCCACACAAGAATTAAAACCTGTGACCTCATCTGTGAGCACAATTCTTATCACACTGTGCCAGATAGGGCACACAGTCACTACAATGTTGAAGATATGTTTTAATATAAAAAGGAACACAGAGGAGCAAGCACTAGCATGCTAACCAAGAATGTTCATGAAGTTTAGTGCACAGCAAGAAGAGCAAATACAGCAGAAATAGAATGTACATTAAAAAAACAGATAAGTTCAGAAGTAGAGAAGTAAAAAAATGAACAGAAGTTCAGATGAGAATGACCAAAAACACATTTCTGATTCAATGCACACAGAAAATCCAACACCCAGAACAGAAGCAACATTCATACCACTTCTGGCCACAGTACTTCTTACAATCTGGGCATGTGCCACCCTGGGTTCAAACCCACGACCTGAAAGGTTCAGGGCCAATAGGCTTAGCAGAGTGTGCCACTCAGTTGACATATGTTCAACAGGACGCAGAAGAGAGGTTAAGGTGTGAGAATGATCTCACAAAAGCGTGACTTAGCATTTTACAGAAAAGCACAATTGACATCCTCAGATTCGGCATGACACAAGGAATCCAAAGACACCAAGATCATAATTTTCTGACCAATTGTTCAAAAGTTATAAGCGAAAATGTGCATTTTTGGTATCTCACGACCCATAGGTGGCGCTATTCCCATCTTTGGCATGGGCCCTCAGATCATGGTGTTGATGAAGCATACCAGGTTTTGTTTCAATTGATCAAAGTTTGGCCGAGATACAGCCTCTGAACCAATTTTGAGTCAACCTCATTGAGTTCACAACTTCATAACTTTTGAACAAAGATGAATAAAAAAAATTGGTTCAGTCAATACAGATACAATAGGGGCTACAGCCCTTTGGGCTTGGCCCCTAATTACATTTCTTATTTTGTGTGGAAAACTGAATTGCTATGTTCTGTGCTGAAAAGTTCACCAGCAGCATTTTTTGTTGACCCTCAAATGGGCATATTTGAGCTAATACCAGAAAGGAATTTACAATTTGAAAACAGCTGCTTTCCACAACTTTATTACACACAACTGCCAGAAGGGTCTGGAAAGCCTGCGGACGTTTGCCAGGGATTCCTTATTTGATGACTTTCCTAGACATGCTACGGAGAGTTTTGGGTTCAACAGTGGCATTCAGAGGCCACGCTCGGAGTAAACGGAGCAATTTTCATTGCTCAGAGAATATTACGGAAATTTTTTGTTTCCAACGACTTTGAATGGGTGACTTTGAAGTGTCCTGCCTGCATATAAACCCGACCACAATTAAGACTCTTTTGTTTTGTGTTTTTCCACTGTATGTTGTTTTGAGGAGACTGACTAACTCTGACCACGCTTAATGTGAAAGTCACATATAATTTCCTATTTCGGTCGCAGGTGGCACGGTGAAATGAGCTCCGTTACAAATACATAAGATACTTTCCCATCGTACCGATCTGTCAGGAGAGTTTATAAAGCATTTAGTGACGACATAATGGATGAAATAGGCCCATGTCCACAGAGCTTGAAACACAGGCACCTGTGAATTCTCGCCTGACTATTGGACAGCTGTGCTTCCCTTTAAAAGTCATGCTGACTGACTGCAGAAGGAGATAATAAATGGCCCTGGTGACCTTGAACAGATGCATGTGTCACAGATGCCATTCGAAACGCCAACACGACACATTGCATGGTCTATTGAGAGCAGCGCTGGACTAATTCACTGCATGTATTTCTAGTGTTAATCATCATTTCTAGTGTCTAATCATTAGAATGTGAATGGCAGTGCAGCACCTTTTGTGGTAATCAAACGAAAACATTGTTCGTTTAATATTAATTGTTCCTTGTAGGATGTTTTTGCATCTGGCAGCGGACCATATTGTATCTGTGAACAATGGCTAAACATTGAAACAGGTGTTGTTTATCCATACTTGTTTCCTTAACTCTGTGCGAATGTGTATGTGACAGATGCTCAATCGTTTTGAGTTTGACCCGGAGTTTTTACTATTTTCAGATTTCTGGTTCAAATAAATCCTGCTCTTTTTAGCTTTCTATTCATCAAAGAACCCTGAAATAAATTATGATTTCACAAAAGTATGACGCAGCACTGTTTTCAACATTGATACGAAATGTTTAAAAAAAAAAAATCATAATGAGCCCAAACATTTGAATGGTTGTGTAGTTCATTAATTAAGATATAAAAATCAGGTTAAGTCAATATATAATGCATGTAGGCTATTGTAGGTAACGAACAAGCTTTGGATATTGATTTAATTTCCTGAGGTAAATGTAATTTGGCATGTTGCTCACTGGCTGTTTTATTGACGTCCGCGCTTGAAACAGACAGGGCGAGAGATTATTTCAGTTTATATTCTATATTTTAGCATAGCCTATCACTGAAATTCATTTGTGTTTTTATAGTCCTGCAGTAATGATGAGGGAAAATTTGTTCATTTGTTCCTGTATCAACTTCTGGTGCCTTCTGAAATGTGTTGTGATTGGTTAGCTGGGCCAGTGTGTGTTGTGATTGGCAGCACTCGGCGCCTGGCGCCTGGATTGGTTAGCTGGGCCAGTGTGTGTTGTGATTGGTTAGCTGG